TGCAGTGACTAATCCTGTGAGAGTCCACTTTACAACAGAAACTTATAATACCTGATATAAAAAGATCTACATGGAGTTTAGCTTGATTTCCACGAAGAATTTCATGTGGACTGCCAAAGAATATTGAAAAAAGAAACAATGTTCTGTGGTTCTGAATATTTCAAATTCAATATAAACATTAATGGATCTTCTCAAAGGATTTTTTCTTTGTTGTTTTTAAAGTCAAAGATCTCCCCAGCCACTGTTTCTTAAAACCTAGGTCAGGGTACATTCTCACCCCGGAAACACACTCAAATTTCAAACAAGGCCAGGCATTGAACTACAAGACTTTGAAAGAGAATGTTGCTGTGGACTCCTTTTTTCAGACTCCTTATATCTTTAGCCTTTTACTGTAGGCAATCAAGACCTCTTATTATGTTCAATGGATCTGTGAGCCACTGCATAAAGTATTAATTTTCCATCCATCCATTTGCAGGAGTCACCAGACTAATGAGAGATGCAAAGACCTCTCTCCCCTGCCAAAAGCTCTTCTAGGTCAATAACATAATCTGTATCCCACAATGGCCATTGACAATGGGTGCAATACACTGCACTCCTGGAGCACCCCCCACAGGATACTCTGAGGGAGTCAGTGAAATGCCCTCTCCAAGTCCACAAAATACATTTAGACTTGCTGGGAAAATATCACCTCAAGTATCCTTGAGGTCTAAACAGATTGTCCAGTGGTTCACAACCAGCCAGAAAGCGGCATTGTTCTTTCTGATTAACACGTAAACTTTCCTCTTTTGTGCCCCACCCTAGACTTTCCCGTGGAAGTTGAAGAGTGTGATTCAGTTGATGCACCCCTTCTGGATTGCATTCTTAAAAAAGGGGACTTGAACCCCAGTTTACCAACCAGAGCCATTGGTGCAGGGATGCCAGGAAAAGCAGGATGATTCAACAAAATACAGAGCATTGTGAATATTATCCACCAATGGGATTGAATGCTATGAAGTGAATACTATACTATGAATAAATTAAAATGCTATGTACTATACTA